TATCCAGCTCTGGATTTATCCATTTTCTATGAAAGTGGAGACAGAGATATTTAAGAACCTTTCTTGCACAAAAAAAGCCCTGTTTCCGCTCAGTACTTAATTAGCACTTGTTTATGACACGGCGCCTGATTTGATTTTTAAAACAAATTGCACAGTAAAGAGACTGATATTTAAACCGTATAGTAACCACAGCTCCAGCTGTGACTCAAATATTGTAAGCCTTCAGGGGTTGTGTTAGGCTTAGAAAATAGGAACTCAGGCCTGTAATTAAATGTCCTCTAAAAATCAGCCTTTTGTGGGGAAAAGTGTGGCATGCCACAGGATTTAAACTATTGACTCATTCAGAGAAAACAGTCTGCTGTTCCCAATCTCACTAGGGACTGCCCAAATCTATTGGGTTAAAATGGAAAAAGAAGAATACGTATCTAAAGAAGACTACAATGAGCTACGGACTGCAGGGAAAAGCCAAGGGCAGCAAAAAAGCAAAATGAGTTATTCTGGCCCATTGGGTTATACTGGATAAGAAGGGTTTTATTATATAGGTAGCAGAGGGAGCTGTGGGGGCAGGAAGAGAGATTAGAAGGAAAGTAGGCAGGTTAATACAAGGAGAGATTACATTTTGGGCTCCAAATAAGTCAGAGAGGGTGTGAACTCATGTTTAAAATCTATCTTCAATAATAATAATAGTGAGCAATTAACAACAGCAGCTTTGAGAACAAGTGAGGAAGGCAAATTAGCTTCTGCTACCGATCAGGTAGGAAAATCTGCACAAAATAGAGAGAAAGGAGTTAGCAAATTAATTTGCTGTACCACTAGCAGCTGTTTAAAACCAACAGACAGACAAACCATGCAGAGGCCTGGGGAAGGACTTTGAGATTTGAGAAATGCAAGCGTAGCGCCACTTATCAGAGAAGGAGAGAAATGATTCCCGCAGTTATCACCCTCATAAGTCTAACTCCCGTCCCATGTGAAGAACTGAAGAAAATATTAAGAGAACTTGCTACCCAACTGGAGGATAATGAAACCAGGAGCAATAAGCAGGATAAGTAGTGTTTATAAAAAATGAATAGATCTTGCCAGGCAATTGATTGTGTTTTTGATAGAGTTGCAAAATTACTGGTACAGTAATTCTGAAAGATTTATGAGCGAGAGATTTAAAAGATGATTTTAATGAAACTGGTGCAACTTTTGCATGCAGACAAGGCCTGAGTCTGTTCTTAAGCACCTCAATAAGTTGTTTTATATTCAGGTGGCAAATGCACATCGCTGCCCTCCGTGCTGTCAGTCTAATACGATTAGTAAATCTAAAAATGCTGTTTTCCAGGTTTCTTTTCTTAACCTGTTCATTTATGCCGCAAAAGATAGCTGGAGCCTTGTTCACATCTGCTGTTGTGAGAATGGCATCAGCTTTACGTTCCTAAGTGACTGACTTGTCTAGCTTGTCCTTTATTCCAGCCACCCAATATATTAATCTTCCACAAGTCAGAGCTGAATAGTTTTGGCTTAAGCTTGCCTCTTCCATCAGAGTTTGCAGTTTGACATCAGTGGGACATATGCTCCCGAGGGCATGTTCACATGCAAACTTAGGTTGGTATAGTGGAGAATTCCAGTGTAGACCCAGTTGTATCAGTAGAAAGGTGCTTTTTTAATTAATGTGGTATATTTCCCTTCCTGTGTAGCTTTTTCTTGTATAGTTTATATACCCTTTCCTGTACCAGTTTAAGGTGCTGATACTCATACTACTGTATCTGCACTAGGAGTTGTGCTGCTGCAGCTATTTTGGGGGTGGGGGGAATCATATCCCTCTCCAAAAGAGCTTCACCGATGCCTGTATAGATCTAATTCACTAAGGTGATTTTGAAAGTCCCACATGGTGCCCGCATGTAGCCTAACTTGATGTTCCAGTCTTTGAAAAGTTGGCTTATATGTTTAAAAAATAAGGAGTTCACAGTAAGAGTTAATCTACTGGACAGCTTCACATGGCATTGGTAGCACTGAAGTGCCTTTCTTTGGACGTGACGGATTTTAAACCAGGTATAGATGTGTGCGTAAACACCTTCCTAGCTCTGATGTTATGGACACTTATGCGAGCACTTAAGGAAAGTCCTGCTAAAGTCCACTGAACTGTTCACATGAGTAAAGATACAGGCTCGATTATGAGTTTGCAGAATCAGCACCTTAATTTTCAAGGCTGCCCCCCCCCCCCCCTTACCCTTATTTAACAATGTTATCAAAATCTAGAAACCCAACCAATAATGGCATATAAAAAAGACCATTTATAATGTAGTCCACGACACATTTTAATCTAAAGTTTCAGCAGAACAGTTCTTTGAATTACTTTTATGAAGCCCTGGCCTGATATAAATGTTTGCTCCAAAAAAATATTTGAGTGGTTTAAACCATGCCTTAAATCAGTTACTTAAATTATCCCTCTCTAGGCTTTACCAGTGTAAAGCAGTCAGCTAGTCCTGTGATGGAGGTTTATTATCTTCATTTTTGGCTTGTTTCCTGACCATGCAGCTCCTTACCATTTGGTCAGTTCTGAGATTTTTACCCATGTCTCCTGCCTCCCAGCGCCTTACCTGTAAGACTGGCGACACTATTTTTTTTTGTTTGTTTCTTTACTGTTTTATCATGCTGAAAGGCAGCTCCAGGATGTGCTTCAGATAAATGTGGTTTTGAATAATGTTCCTACCAGATATTTGACACCAGACATCGCTCCTTAAGTTTTTCAGAGCATGTAAGAATGTCAGCTATGGCGCACAGCCATGGCTC